GCGTCGTTCCATCAAAATATTGCCATTACAAAAGTTGCGGATTTGCAGAATAATATTATCTTTTGTTTTATTAGGATAACATGGCGCGCGTGTGCTTATTTCCAATATTTTGAGGGTGGGTCTAAACAAATTCGTGGTCGGATCATTTTCATGTTTGGCCTAGCAGATACTCAGTATATTGCCCCAAATGGTCTCTGCTAGTCACCCGATCTGGGTTGTTTCGCTTAAAAAAGCGCCTCAGGGATACTGACAATTACCAATTAGAGTCTCGACCTATGTCAGACTGTGTCTTTCCAAAATGTCAGATGCTAGCCAACCGCGATTTCAAAAAGTCGTTAACATTCAAGAAACATACAGGGTGTCCCAAAAAAAACGACCCATCTGGCATTTCGCCGTGTTACATCCAACCGGTCCCAAATTTGGACCGGAGGTGTATCAGACCTTAAATAACAACAATCCTGGCTTACAGCCCCATAGCTACAGTTGCTTTAAAGTTATAACGAAAATACTGTTTTTCCCGGAATTCTGAACAGTTTTATCGGCTATCTTTTTGGACTTTGCATCGATTTGCATCGACTTCCGGCTGCGAATCCCAAATTTCGCTTAAGAACTGGGGTAGTTTTGCGTTGTAAAAATCGCTTAAATCGAAGCTTATTTAATTAATTTTACTCCGGAAAAAATTTCTTACGGTAAAGAAGGCCTACCGGATCATTTTCACTTAATGTTTAGGGGGTCTAATTCAACGAAAACCCTATGAAAAATGGAAAATAAATTTTGTTTTTGCTATAACTCGAGAACGACTGTAGCTACCGGGCTATAAGTCAGGATTGTTGTTATTTAGGGTCCGATACACCTCTGGTCCAAATTTGGAACCGATTGGATGTAACACGGCGAAATGCCAGATGGGTCGTTTTTTTTGGGACACCCTGTATTAAATTAGATAACAAAATCTATCATTAGTGCATTCATTTTCCGCTCCTCGAGGCGCTTCCTAAATAGCCTCTGCTAGCCGGCCATTGCGAAAATTGCGCTTTCCTGATGCGAACCTGTTCCGTAGGTTTTCATGTCTGAAACGCACCGGATAAATCGGTGACGCATTATCATCATTAGTACGCCCAAAATCCAATCCTTGCGTAGTTTCGTAAATGTTCTCTGGTTGTTGTTCAAAACTTAAAATTCGTTCCATACGTCAAGAAACCGCACGCACCAGATGAAGCACATAAGTTGTCGGAAGTATTTTAAGCTTATAGCTCAGCAAAAAAATTGTGGCAGTTGTAGACTTGCTGAACCGTTTCGTCATGCTTTTCATCAATTTCATTGACCTGAAGATACCTTCATCATTTTCCCAATCAATACATCCTCCCCCACCACGCCCGGCTCTAATTAGCGTTTTTGTTGTTACTACGGCGAAGAGCTTCAGGGGGTGTTCCCGGAACTTGTAGCCCATGGGAACGGATATCTTTCGTTTTCTCTGGGCATCTAAAAATCAGAAAAATGGGGCGGCCACACGTTTTGGGAAATGCGAGTATTTATGGAAATGTGGGTGATGGCGGCTTATATGAATAGCGGAATAGCGGTAACACTATTTAACTGAATTCGACAGCAAAATTAATGCGTAAAAACATTAACCATCGTTCGCGCCAAATACTCAAAAATTTCAAATGTTCCGAAACTTTGAACACCTTGAAGACGTTTTCCACAAAAATTGAAATTTCAAAAAAGGCGGTGCTTTACAAGTGCGTAGTTGCGATTCAAATATGATTTGCAATGCGCGATGTGTTTCTGTTAGATTTTAACCCTTATGATACGCTAAAACCCTTAATCACCATTTTGGCAATATTTATTCGCTTTTCAACATTATTTAGATTTATAAGCTTACGACTGATTTTTTCCCTCAAAATCTCCTCCATCATTTACGACAATCAAATGCCACCCACAAATCCGTTTTCCCGAGATTTCTATTCCATTAAATGGCTTCTCACACCTCCCTACTCACCCGCCGACTCAATTGATTTTTGATTACAAGGCTTCCTCGAGTCCGGCCAAAAATTTTCCCAGTTTTACTTCCGAAAGAAGTACCTTTTGAGTATCGTCCCGTACTCAAGTTCCTTCTCGCACTTTGCTCTTGGAATGTTCACTAATCAACGCCATTCAAAAACTGACGCCCCCCACCTTCACCTGGATCTGAGAAAATCATGGGGCCTGTTCAGGTGGAATACGGCGGCTTTCCGGAAATGTCAAGGGGATTCCGCTTGAACTTATTTGGCAAAAATGTTTGTGGTGAACCAGCTACCGTAATTCTCAACCATTTATCAGTAGCGCTTCCGGTTTTCGGCCACTAGTCGCTATTCTTTCTATCTCAATCTAATCAATTTTTTGCAAGACCGTTTTGTCCTGGTTTCGGAAAATTAGCTTTGTGGCTTTGCAAAATCTGCCTAAAAAAGGCGAGGCCTTGCATAAAGAAGGGATTTCGAAACACAATCCTGGTTTTTGTCGCTCAAAATTTGGCAAGCCCGTGCCTGATCCTAAGCCTAACCTAAGCCTAAGCCTAAGCCTACAACCTCCCTTGACCACAATCCAGCGCACACTTTCCAATTCAAGGTCCTCGTCGGGCATCCCGCAAAAAATTCCGTACCCTCGAATGGCATCAATTTTTCACCGACACTTACATCAACACGGCCCTGTTCCCAGGGTCCATGCTCGTTCCTGGGATCTCGGATTCCTCTCTTTCGGTCTCTCTCTCTCTCTCTCCCTTCCTCTCTCGCGCTCTTTTCAATTATTTACGGGACCCGATTAGCGCAGGCCCCTGATATACGCAGGTGCATAGCGGCCCTCCCCGGCCGGCTGAAGGGCTGAAGGCATATAAAACCGATCCTTTTCCGGGTGAGACCGGAATTCCGTCAGTCACACGTCCGGGTCACCACGAATATTCAGAATTATTTTTGTATCATGATGGATTTGATTTTTAAGACCTAAGTTTTTTTAGATTTTGCGTCAAAAACATAAGTTGTCACTCTTTTTGGATACAAAAAATGCTGCGTGTTTTGCGAAGCCACGAAAAACATGTCTGGCCACGACAAACGGTACGACAAGGACGTTTGTTAAAAATAACTGCACTTCCGGCCGACAAGAAAATTTTGAGAGGGAAATTACGCTGTTTTAGGCTTTTTGATCTATTTATGCCGGGAAATTTTGGGAAATTTCCCGATTTTCGGAAGGTTGAAAAATCTTATAAGAATGTTATGAAAAATTTTGATTTTGGCAATTTTTGATTTTTGCTCATTTACCGGAAATTCCATCACTAAGTTAAAAATGACAAATCCAAAACGAACAAATCAAACTCCTCGCGGCTACTTTTATCGAATCAAGCCAATCAAAAATTACTAGAAAACTTGAGTCACTTCCCCCAAAAACCCAGAGTATTATTCAATCCAAGTCACGCTACAAATTCCCTAGAGTGTGGAATCTCGGAAATTCACCAAAAAAAACGAAAAAAGACGTAGGTAGAAAAAGCTCGTTGTCACGCGCCTCTGATTCAGACCGGATTCAAATTGAATTCGATTAGACTTCGAGGGGCGTGGTCGTTTTCTAAGTGCACTTTAACAACTTTTAAGATGACTTTAAGATGGTATTTTTGAAATCCAGCTGAGTGGCCGATTGCGCACAGAGGGGGCTTTGTTTAGACCCAAGTGACGCGTGCTTCTGTCCAATAATCCCTGCGTAATAAAGTGAGTGCTTTCGGGGCCAGGGATCGCGGCCAGGAGTCACTTTCCTCCACTCATTCATTCCTACAAAATTCTACTTGGATATTGACATCTAGAGAATTTCTAGTTCCTAACTATATTCTATCCGATTTTCCAAAATGTGCCTGGTATGTTTTTGGAATTTAAAGGAATTTAGAAGCACAAAACCGACCCCTTGTCTTGACTAGGCCCAAACAGCTAAACAAACCTCAAAATTTAATTCGATTTGGTGCCTATTCTAATTGGGTCATTTGGAGTATTGCGTATAGACCTAAAAACCCGGGCCAGGTGGATTCTGACGCTTCTACGTCTCTTTCATAAGTAATAATTTGAATACCCAAATCATTTTTACGATTTTCAATAATTCATGCTTTTTTAAAGAATGACGAGTTAACATTAAATATTAAAATAACCGAAAAACCCATTTTTCTTTCAGAAAATAGCGTTCCCACAGTTTCGTCGGAGCCGCAGCTCCGTGGGGGAGGCGATGCGGATGCTGAAAGATGAGTTCATGATGCAGATCATTGCCTACAGCAATGCCGGGTTGTCAGCAAGGAACAAGGAGAATTCCTCGTCGGTGAGTGACTGATGCATTAATAGAAAATGACCTGGCCAAAAAACACTCTTTTATCGCTAAAATTGCGAAAATTCCGGCAAACTGAATTTTTAGACGGGCCTCCATGTCCCGGCAAAGAAATGGGAGGAATGTGCATTGACGCGGGTAATTTGAATCCTTAGAGCCAAAGAAAATCCGTAATTCCAGAAATACATGCGCTTCGTGCAGCAGAAAACCCGGGTGCAGGACCAATTCTCAGAAGAGTTCTTCAAGAATCACGCCTCGAACAGCAGAATCGATACCTTTACGATTGTAAGTTGAACTTCAGGGTCGCGACGTTTTCAAAAAGGCCCTCAAAATTAAGCGAAATAACCTGTGCCATTTTCGGCTAGCATGGCCAGCGCGTCGCGTCTCTTTTTCTTTTAGCAAGGAACGTTGCGTAGTGACGAAACGCAACGCATGCAACGCGCAACACGCAACGCGAGCCGCAAGGAACACGCAACGCACACAGTTAAGGGACGTGCAACGCACGCCGTAAAACATGACGCGCACACCACGCAGGCAACGCTTTCCGGCTTCAAAATCAGCCTCACCAACAATTTCAAAAAGCAACTTCATTTTCAGAAAATGACATTCATGACCGATGAACTCCTCTGCGATCTGATGAAGTGGATCGGAGACGGCGAAGTCGTAATTCGAGGCCTATCGATGGAAGACGTCCGGCCTTACTTTGAAGAAGAGCTCTTCAACCGATATTTGAAGTGAGAAAACAAAAATTGGAATAATTTCTGTGTGTGTTTTAGATTTATCAACCCTCGTCTCCTGTGCTGGAGAGCCTCTATGGAAGACGGGGCAAAATCACCTTGTATTATCGGTTGGTTACCTTCGCTGCCCCTTCGAAAAATACCAATATTTTAATTTGCTTCATATGTATTTTAGCTGAGAGTGATTGAGTCTTGAAATTTGTAACTCAAATTTTTAATAACTTATACGTTAAAAACACTAAAAATCGGTTTTATGCTCCTACTTTAACAATCGGAACATTGAATCCATTTTAGTACCTCAAAAATGCCAACTCCTCGACGTTGCCAATGCTCAAGTGGACCTCACAAACTCGAATCAGCTAGAATATGTCATCTTGAGAGATGTGCATCAGGAATCGCAGCGGTTATTCATGCAGGTACCGTGTTTATAGCAATATTTAGGTAACATCCTGTTTTCAGGGTATCTTCGACAACCAGTTCCCCAAGCTGAAAGCAGCGCTTTTATGCGTAGACTCGATCGGGCAGCGCCAAGAGAACTTGTGGTCGAATAAGGTACGTCAATAAAAACAATAATTTTGTCGTTTGTAGTCTTAATTTGTAGTGAATAGTACCTAGTCGTAAATTTTGTTTGATCTGCATAGATTTTGAACGACACACGTGTAATTTCTTTAGCAATGGAAAGCGATCGGTTTCAAAATCAGGACGTTGTACAGTCGACAACCCGGAGCGCATACGATTCACGACATCAGGTAGGCGTGTTTTAATTCTCTTTTGTCTCTCTCTATCTTGCGCACTCTCTCCCTCTCGCTGTCTCTGGCTTTTTCTCTCTCTCTGTCTCTCTTCCTTCTATATAACTCTCTTGCTCCCTCGCTGACTAAGCTCATTTTAGACGGATTGACTCGAAGTGGATGGACAAAGACCGAGTGATACAGTACGGCAGCTTCGTCACCGAGACGTTCATCTCGGCAGGGGCAGCCTCTTCGGCCTCGCATCGACTTAAGAATTTTGCCAACGAAAGGCCGACTACAAGAAGCCTATCCTGGAAGGGCATTGAGAGAAGGCGCTCCTCTTCCGGCCATCGATATTCTGATACCCTCGATGTTGATTATTGAATTCTGTTTTTTTTTGTGTTTTGTATTTGAATTTGGAGGACGGGAAAATAAAGTTAACGTTACGTTGAGGAAGGCAACATTTTAATGCTTGAACTTTTCTAAGTAATTTTTTCTAAGCCTAAGCCTAAGCCTAATCCTACGCCCAAGCCTAAGCCTAAGCCTAAACCTAAACCTAAGTAAAGTGGTCGGGGACCACTCCTAACATAAGCCTAACCTAGGCCTAAGCCTAAATCTGGTTTTTTAAATCTTTTTCTTGCTTTGAGGCAAACAACACACGTCAAACTCCACGAAGCGCACTAACCCACTTCTGGACGTGGGGAATCGAATTTTGTGGCGGCTGGAGAACATCTGCGTATTTTCGGGGAAGTGACCAGCGATGCCAGAAAACAGTTTTTCGTCAGAGCTTGATGCTTTAGACGCTACTCTTCAAATTCTTCAACTCTTCGTTCATAGTAAAGCTTTGCACTTTGTATCCCTAAAATTAACTGAAGATGCAATGGATACCGTAACTCATGCTCCAGCTCAACTTTGCAACTGCTAGCTGCTCCCAAAATACCCCACTGACCAAGGATGATCCCGATTTCCAGCAGCGGACATTGTTATGGACTCCCCGGTCGGGGGGTTGTGCAATTAGGAGCAAAGCGGAAATGCGTCAACTCCCACAAAAGATCCGTCACTCCCGGGGGCGACTTCTGGCACTTCTGGCTTGAGGGTCAGCCCCCAAAAAACACACGTTCCAAAAGTGTCCGGTGCCATTTTGGGAGTTGGCCGGAAACGGAATTTGTCTAAACTACGTCTCTGATCAAGCCTAACCATAAGCATAAGACTGACCCTAAACGAAGCCGAATAAGGCCGGAAGTTCGGACTGGGAATTTTCGAAGTTCCGTTTAGTCTTTAATTTTGGCTGCACTGAATGATATTTCGTTTTTAGCTTCAGCTTTGATTGATGAGCGATGCGCGCTAATGACATTTGCAGTCATTTCACTAATGGCAGCCTTACACGACATGAAATGGGACTCGTTTTTTGAGAGCTTATGTTATTAGTTGGCCCATTTGGTCGTCACCAGTCCTTTTTGGGAGTGCTCACTGCTCTCTGAATAGAGCTAAAATTAGGCTGGCACCAGGTTTCAAAGTATATTTCTGAGGATTTCGAACGTCTGCTCTTACGGTATTTCCAACCGAAATTTTGGAGCTTGCCGTCCCATTGACAGATACCGTACACTGCACAAAAAGCCGCTAACAAGGTTATTTTAAGGCATTCTCGCATTATTTACAGGTATATACGACTTCATGGTCCCCTTAAAACATTATAACGTCTTTAATAACATTCCTTAAATCATTATTTTATTTATAGTCTGTGAGCGTAGTGTGTGGCCACGATCAGCTGCCGGGTACCGTGGCCCCCGGACGTAGATAAAGCATCAAATGTAGGAGCCGAAAAGTGAGCTGGACCCCCCTTTCCTGATGGTATCGACCCGGCTTCCGCATCTCTTATCGCCGGGCACCAGAACTATTTTTTGTTGTTGAGCCTTTGCCCCCGGCGTTGCCGGCGTGTAGATAATAAACAGGTGGGAGAGCCGAGAATTCTCGAAAGATCGTCGCGTTTGGAAGTGTCTTTAGGAAATGTATTCTGAAGTTTGACGTTCGTTGGCCAAAGCCTCAGCCTTGTCACAAAGTTGTTGCTGACCCCAAAACTTTAATGTCGCCACGACCTAGAAACACCTACAAGTTGAGCAGCTACCATATCTCGAAAGCCACCAATTTTGGCCCCAAATACCTAAATGATTGCTGCTTGCTGACGCTTAGAATTCAGAATCAGGGAATGCATAAACTGATAGTTTGGTCAAGGATCAGGTTCCCCTAACTAATTAGTAGCGAATTAACTTCCATCTGCTCCCACATAGCCCAAAAGATCGCTGCTAGCGTCCCATCGGCTACCAATTGTTTTACGTTCCCCATTTCTCCCTCTCCCTCTCTCTTTCCCTTTCCTCTCTCTCTCTCTCTCTCTCTCTCTCTCTCTTTCTCTCTCTATCTCTCTCGCTCTCTTTGTGATCTTTCGCTAGCATCTCCTCAATTTGTTTCAAACTGTCTCGCGCAGAATTGCTGCTAGCATGCCCTCAAGCCTTGCTTAATCTAAGTTTTTTAGAGAATTTGTAGTTGTAGCAAAATTCCAGGAGCTGCTTGGGACGGAGTGGAATGGTGGAGAGAGGAAAGGGTAAGAGTGAGAGAGCGGGGAGGAGACGAGAGCGAGGGAGACAGAGAGGGAAAAAGAAAATCATGATCACGTTTCAATTCCAAAACACAGTTCTCACGAATTTCGGCTTGTTACGCAATTCCCTCGCGCCGGTTAGGTACTTAATTTTTATGCCATATAAACTACCCCCAGGCCCAACCAGTCACGAAAATAATCAGCGTCATTTTGTCGTTTACCAAAAATTTCTGAATTACGTAACCCAACCCCTTTTTAAGGCTCTTCATTTGCATACCATATCAACCCCCCTCCCCTCCCCATCTTCGTCAATAGTAAGGTGTCGTAAATCTGATGTCCCCCGGAGCCAGTGTGGCGAGCGGAAGGCGCATGTTTTCGAAGAACCCCCCACCATAAGGCCAGGGAGGAAGGGCCATTTGATGGGGTGAAGAAGCATCCTCCCGTAGCGGGACGCTACACACCACAATTTGATAAGACCCATCCATCCCTTCACGAGACTCAAGGAAATGAAGCCGGGGCCCTCGGATGGGAAGCCGCCTATTGACAACACAAAGCCTAAACAACCAATTTCTGGGCTGGCTGGGAGACCCGCACGTGTTTTGTCTGATTCTTTTGATTTTGATGGAATTCAACCTACCTTCTCCCTCTGGCAAACTTCCAGTTATTGTATTTGCCATTGATGTCGCACCAATCATAGTTTGCGCTTCAGACTCTTTGGCGTTCCATTTTTTTTTTAAATCTGCTGATTCTAATTTCGCATCTTATCGCCGCTAGAGACGCCTTTCACACAGTAATCGCCAGGTAAATAAGTCTTGGAAAGCTTAGGAAAAATTATTTAGCAAAATTCACTAGTTCTGAAGCTACCGTACCGAAATTCCTAACAAAAACATCTTTCGAACGAAAAGCCATGCCTCGGCGACCCATTCCGGCGCAATTTCCCTGGTTTATCGGAGTGCTATAAATTTGCTAACCAGGATTTAATGCACGAAGTAGACCGTAGTGATCGATGTTGGAGGCTTACAGTGAGCCGCAGTACGCACAACGTATTTCCCTCCTCCCCTCCCCCCTCCCCCCCTTTAGCAGAGAGGTCCCAATCGCAATTAGTAATGCCGATATAATTTTACCTTTACGGATTATTGCACTCTTCAGCTTGTCAAAACAGCCTCAATAAAACCCATTCCTTTCAATCAAACAATTCAATTCAACACCTGCCCGCCACCCACATTTCCGTATCTAGCTTCTTCTGGTGCCTATTTTGGCGGGCTCATTTCGATTTGTCGACAACACGGAGTAAACAAGTGCTCTCGCCCATTATCAGCGCATATTTTGACTGGGTCGGCTTGTTTAGGGAGCGATATTGAATTTTTGGTATTTTGAAAGGGGGTTGTAGTTTGTGCCGCTGAGCCTAAGCCTAAAGCCTAAGCCTAAGCCTAAAGCCGAAGTCCAGCCTAAGACCAAGCCTAAGCCTAAGCTTAAGCCTAGGACCAAGCTTACTTCGGCTTTTCGGGCAATTAATTTGATGTTTTCCGCTTTCATTTTAACGAAAATTTCCCCTTTAAGGTAACATTTTTAGATGAGAGCCCTTCTACTCCTTTTACCAGTTTTATACCTTGCAAATTCGCAGGCGACTGGTGGCTATGCCGCGGAATCTGTGCCGGTAATCGAGATTTCGAATTCGTCACAAAAATTCAATTTTAGGAGCAATTGTCCGACGTGAAACTAAACGACTATCTAGGAGTAAGTTCACGAATTTCAGTTTTAAGTTGATTTTAAGGCAATTAAATCCATTGAGGACACGGCACTTGCTCAGGTCCACCAGGTGTATTCTGAAGCTGAAGCCGCTAAGGTTGAGCTTTATGGCTCGTGGGCTTCTCGGGTGAAGCAGGTAGGAGAGAGAAAGGAGGAGCGAAGAGAAAGAGAGAGAGCGAGAGAGAGAGCGAGACAGAGAGAAAGAGATATTTTGAAAATCGCACTCTATCCTTACTGGCAGGTATGGAAAGACAAGATGATGAAAGACGCGGAGAAGGCTCTTCAGCTGGAGCTGATCAAACAGGAGATGGTTGACCGATACAAGGCCGAGACCGAGAAGGTCTATATGGTAGGTAAATTACTGATTTTCATGATCCCGTAATCTTTTAGCAAGCCGTCCAGGCCGCCAAGGAGTACCAACAAGCCTACCTTGACGCCAAGGCCGCCCAGGTTTGTGTAAAAACTAATTTTTCACATCAGCTTTTTAGCGCCAAGCCATCGCCGACAAGTACAACGAGTTCAAGCAGATTGTCAATGCCTCGATCGAAGCCAAGGTGGCGCAGGCCAAGGAGAACATGGCTGTGAGTTTTTGGGCTATTAATGATACGCGGAAAACTAATCTCAAGAGATGTAGAATTTTGCCCTCCACAAGACGTGATATCATTAAGCTTGTGAAAGTCACTTTTAATCGCTTTGCAAAACGTTTTATTGTACCTTGAAACGATCGATGTTTCTAGGAAATCGGCGCGTACCTGCAGCAAGTCGACGAGCTCTACCGTAATCACAAGGCTGCTAGGTGAGTAAAACTAGATCGAAAATTTTGAAATTTAAAGGGACAGGTAAAGCCTGACGATAAATTATGCCTTGCTCACCACATGTAACGCGCCTCGTGACACTTCTTTGCGTAATGGAATCTATAGCCAAAAATCTCTAGTCGTTCCTTACATGCCCCTTTAAAATGCACGTTTCTCTAGCGATGCGGCCATCGAGGAGCGCCGTCAGGCCCTCAAGGACAAGCTGGCCACCATCTACAACCAACTTGAGGTAAGTAGGCGTCATAGATAGAGCAGGTAATCGATTTTTAGACCCAGGGCAACGAGCTGAAGGCTGATGGCGAACGACTTGGAGCCGATCTGAAGGCGTTCATGGAGAAGCGCTATCAATACAAGGTCTAAAATGGCAAATTCTCCATCAATCCGTACCATTTCAGCAAGACGGACACGGCGCGGCCAAGGAAGTCTTGAAGGAGGTGTTGACCGAGTCGTTGGAGCAAAAGCTTGAGAAGAAGCTAGACAAGGTAGGCTTCAGAGGACTTAAGGAATATTGGCAAGTCTAGCTACCTTCGAGGCCTCCTAAATAATCCCCGCTAGCTTACCTCGACCACCCTCTAATATTCTAGGAACTTCAAAAAATGGTAGAGGACGAGATCAAGGGCAAACTGAAGCACCCGAAGATGGCCCTCCCAGTAGTGGTGAAGAAAACGACCGACACCGAGACCGAGACCAAAGTTGTGTCCCCTGAATACAAGGCTACACTTCTGGAGACGTAGGTTTTTAAAGGAGGAATTTTTAAGTCGTAATTGTTCTAAATTTTTAAAGGGGTGGTGCCATCAAAATCTTAGTTATCAAACCTTACAATTTTTAGCCTCACCGGAGCTTCAGCCTGGGAAACTGTCGCCTGGGTCCTGTTGGCCCTTTGCATCCTCCTATCCGTCGCCCTGATCGCCCTGATCGCCTACCAGGTAAGCCCACTTCTTCCCCTAAACAACACCTCCTAACCCTAACCCCAGTATTACCAGGTGGCCCAGAAGAACAAGTACGGCAAGCTGGAGGGTGTCGACAGTCCGCATAGGTATCGAAACGTTAAAGGACCTCCGAATTCAGTTTTAGGCCCTCAATGGCTCGCGCCGAGCGAGCACCCATCAACACGGCGCCCCCACTCACCTACACGCATGTAAGCTTGTAGTTAGAATTTGTTTCTGACGATTAAAAACGCCCTAAAAATGTTTTAACTTCGCAAATTGAACTTAAGTTTGACTTTGGGTTGTGAATCCTACTATATATAAAAAATAGTCGGTGTGTGTGGGTGTGTGAATGCATGCACTTCCGTTTGGATGTTCCGCACCTACAGCCCAGGGAAGCATTTTTTCGGTAGGGAAGAAGCGTCATAGGGTAAAGAAGGGGCTGGAATCGACTGCACACACTTAAAAACTTTGAAGGTTTATTATTTTCGCTATTAAAATTAGGTTTTTGTAAAAATCTTGGCTTCCCTCTTTGTTAGGAAGAAATTAGCATACGCCGGAAGGGGGATAGCCTATATAAAGGGACGGAGGAGTCTTTTTTTCATTTTTCTTGCTAGAATTTGGGAAGAAGCATGCAAATTTAGGACTTTCACTGATCCTAGGGGCCGGGTTGATAGCCGCGAGGGTTCTTCACCCTGGTATCCGACTAAAATTATTTTTCATCTAGGTTTGGCCTAACAACCGGTGAGTTTGAGTAGCTGTGTAGCTTTTTTTATGACTATAAGCATGTTTGCGGGGCTTTTTTAGCGGGAGTAAAAGGCTAGATAGTATTGGCTTACCGGCCCCTTTAAAAATAAATGCAAGGCATAATCATGAATTTTTACTTGTTGTCGCATCGCAACACGCAACGCACAAGCCGCTAGCCCAATCTGAGGACGTCTTAATCAGTTACGCGATCGAAAGCCACACGCACGGATCTTTGTCTTGTTTGTCCCTTTAAGACATTTTAGAGTTTTTGAGTTTGAGTGACTTGTGCAATGTAGCCTCTAAATTGACGCTTTTTTGAGCATATTGGTCGTATTGGATAAGTAAGGGAAATATTATTGCGATCTTCAGGAGAAGCCCCTCTTCGGTTCCGGACTGCCGGGACCTTCCGTAACCGCCTCCGATCCGTTGCCCGTTCCCCCACCCCTTGACGATACGCAGCAATTTTGAAACAAACAAGCGTGGGTTTTGAAGGGTGCGTAACGCTTAAGATTTGTCCCTTATATTAGGCAGTAGTGTCAAGTGTAGTGTAGCGTAATCGATTCCGGCTCTAATTAAAATGAGCTTCAAAAAACGTTTAAATTGTTGCAGTGGCAGTAAAAGTATTAGCTAGGGTTTGCGTCAAAATCCACAAAATTCGAAAGTTACCGCACCCCTTTTTCAGCCCCACTCCACTCTACAGTAACCCAGACGGTTAACCACGCACTCATATCGATGCTGGAGACGGTGCAAGCCGTCGTCATCTCCCTTCTTGTCTTCATTAAAGTCTTCTTCACCCCGCCTCCCTAGAATTGACCCACCTATTCGAGATTGCCTTCCCCTTTTGTACTGAATTTTTGCTCAATAAATGGATTTTTGGAGATGTAAAAAAGAAAGGAGAAAGTGAGCGAGAGCTAGCGAGAGAGATAGACAGATAGAGAAAGAGAGAGCGAGTGAGTGAGAGTGATGAAGAGAGACAGCAACAGTAAGCATGAAAATCGGTGGGCTAACCGCTTCAAGTTAGGACGTATCTAAACCTCTCAAGTAGCTAGCCAAGTTCAAGGCCCTGCTACACAATGCTCCCCTGACACCTACATCTGGTCGTTTGTATAGAACCGGGGCGACAGACACTCGAATCCTAAAAAAGGAGGGCAACAGGAAGGAGGAGCGGGGAGGGCTAGTAGACCATTATGCAAATATCGAAACTAGGGCTCCACTTCCTCGGCTTCTGCACAACATGAAATTCGGATTGCTTCGACTATTGATTACACTGGTTTGCGGATTTGATTGCGTAAGTGAATAGACGTTAACACTATATCGTCTTCTAAAGATTACCATAAAATTTGTCTATTCCAGATCCACGCTCAATTCTACTGCGCCGATCAGATCCAGCGATGTGCCGTAGCCATAGAAGAATACGAAAAGGACATTATACAAATTAAGGACGCCGCCTTTCAGCAGTGCTTTAAGCGACCAGCGTAGGAGAATGCTAAATAATATTTAGTTTCTGAATTTTTAAGGTGCCATGAAGAAAGAATAGCGTATAATCGATGCTTTCGGGAATCGTTGCGCGCTGTCCGAGCACCTTTTAATGGGGATTTGGAAAGTAAGGACTATAAGCTCGCCTCTCTCTCTCTCTCTCTCTCTCTCTCTCCTCTCTTCTCTCTATCAAATAGCCAATTTCAGCTTATGACAACTTCTCCGAGGCCGCAAATCGGTATCGGGCGATTGTAGATTCCTGTTTTCTTCGCAATCCGTTAATGGCCATGAATTCAGAGCATGATCAATATTATATTGATGGTACTTTACATTCAAAACGTATCTAAGAGACAAAAATTAGTCGATGCCATCTACGCAAAAATCGTCTACTCCACGGAGATGACGGATAGGTTATGGGGATTGAGCGAAGGAACTCAAAGTGGACTGGATTCTGGGGTTGCTTGTATGGAGAGGGTAATAAATTTAACCTGCTGATGAATTCAAAGTAGAGATGTTATTATTCAAATCAAATCCGACTCAAACCGATTTGATTGAATAGCAGATGAGATTTGATTCCGCCGAAATCAAATCTGGATTGATTGAAACTGGCGGGACTTCAAATCAAATCCGGATTTGATTTGTGAAACTTTCAAATCTGGAGTCATTTTTACGGATGTAAATCACAAGTCGAGCGCCAAAAAAATGCAGGGAAAGCGAGAAATTTTGATGTTTTGCATATGATTATCTTCGAATAAACCGGAAATTGCTGACATCGATTTTCTCACATTTGATTCGGAAATTTGGGTTGCTCAAATTAATCAAATCAAACGGCCCGGGATTTGATTTGAATTGATTTCCGGTTCAAATCAAACCGATTGATTTGATTCTGCCGGCAAATCAAATCAAATCTGGATTTGATTTGAGAAACTTTCAAATCCTCAGATTTGATTTGAATAATAACATCTCTAATTCAAAGCAAACAATTCAAAAGTTTTAGAAATTCTATAGCTAATTTTTTAAGGAATCGGCGCTTCGGATTTTTGGAAGTGGCATCGGTCGGCTTGTCGGATCGCTGGATCCAAAATTGTAAGAAAATATTACCGCAATACAAATTTTTATAACATTTCTTGATTGGTGGATCTAGACCTTTATAATTTGATTGTGATAATAATTATTGCCTGGAAATCAAATATCTATGTTTTTACAAAGTTTTTAGAAATAATCTAGCCTCTTCTTGCACAGTGGAAGACTACGAAGTGATGTGTTATCGTAATGCCTTGGAATCGAGTCAGGACTTCCAGCAACTGATCGCTCAAAGGGACTACATAATGCGCCAATGCATACAGCAGTAAGTTTACTGTATTTTACCAGATTATAAGCGCGATTTATTGATGCAGAAATAACTTCCATTCCTTATTGATTTAACCGATACTTAGTATAATACCCACCTTTGACATCTAGCAGTATCTTACTGCTATAGCGCCACATTTTAAGTTTCATAATTTACTAATTTATCGAGATTTCAAAATGACGTTGGCGTACCTTAGGGTACGAACGCGTACGATCTGCCAACGAACGGATTCCGGAACGCTACGGGGTTGCCTCTGTCAGGCCAGGGACAACTTTGACAGGCAGATCGTGGTAGGTTCTTATGTTTGAACATATAAAATCTATACCAAATTGACTTAGCACCTTGACTACTAGTTCTGCAAGCGTTATATTATATATTTATACGGTTGCTTAATTTTAGCAAGCCATGCTGAGCTGTGTAAGCCGGGAAAGTCCTCCACTTCCGGCCAGAGGCCAGCCCATTCAGTCACCAGAAAACTACCCGAGAAGAGCCCGTAATTCGTTCTTTCAATTTAATAATCTTGGTATAGCCACACGGAGCGAGGGATTGACTACCGGACTCTCCGCCGATGCCGCATCAATTTTTGGTATTAAGGATACCCTAAATGGGCAAAACAGGGAAGCTATGCAGATTAGAAATGGTAGGTATATCCAATTACGCTGTAAAAATCTAGGTGAAATCATCAATGGTCAATGCCTATGCTCGTGCAAAGTTGAGAAAAGTGAAGCGGAAGTGGGGCAGCAAAGGAATCAGGTTAACTTGGACTTGGAAAATAACCTAAGAGGTTTTTAGAGGTTCTATCAAGCCCCAGATGAATTTTATGCAGATCGAAGAAGTCAGAAAACCCAGAAAAAGGACGAAGAGGATTATCCATTTATCTATGGCCAAGAGGAAACTAAGCCTACCTCTTTTCCGGTGCTTAAAGAGGTGAAAAATGAGAATTTTGGGAGATAATAAATGTATGAAATGTACAAAATCACAGTTTTAATTCCCGAACTTATCTAAAGGGCAAAATTCATCGTCTTCTTCAGAGAATCTCTATCCAATTACCACATTAAGTTTGCATTGACGAGATGAAAATGGACAAGGTATTTTTATGACGTTAAAAATAGTAGATAAAATGGATATAATCAAGGCCAAACCGATATATTTATCTGCTTCAAATTTGCATCTAGTTACGACAGCAATCACCGTCGTTTTCACTCAAATCTGGTCCTGAAACTCTTGAATCAGCTTCCCAAAATCTGCCTCGAATCGAAGGTTGTTCTAAAAAACATTGATACTACAATATCAATTAGAATACCGTATAACTCCCATCAAGCACCCTCTCGACCAACTCGGAAATTTTCAATGCTCTATCCGGCTGCCCAGCTTTCACGCAGTGCACTTGGAGCCAGGACTTGTACCATCCGGCCAGCGGATAAGCGAAGCCCAATATAGGGCCGGATCGGCCTAAAAAAATAAAGTACAAAACGTAGACGTACGCTACGATGCGTAAAGAAAAATTAAGCAAGGCTTACCTAGAAGGCATAACAGGTAACAGAGCCCAAGTCGCAGCTCTTCGCTATCAAGGTCTAACGGCTCCAGTTCTAGCGTGATGTTCTGAATTTTGAATGTTTCGAAACCAAGCTCAATCCTAAGTCTAACCTTAAATAAGATAAGCTTAAGCCTAAGCCTAAGCCCAAGCCTAACAAGGCCTCCCCAGCCGAGTTGGCTTCGATTGGCCATATAGCCTTCTGATGCAGCCACGCTGATACGATCCCGATATTTATTTTTGCCGAGCGCCACAGACATTGTTAAATCGATTGAAATGTCATGTTTGCAGCCCCGCCTCAGCCCCTCCCCACGGGGGAGGGGATCCATCGGCGGCGTGGTGTAGTTGGTAGTACTTGGCCTACCAATCTAGAGGTCGCTACCGAGTCCTGCCGCTGACGACTTTTGCTTTGCCAAAAGTGCTGTGAAGGTCCTATAAGTCATCAAGAAATAATATTTTTCTGTTTTTTTGCACATGTGGTAGTTAATTCAGGTAGTTATGGCTACAACGATCCTCATGAATTTTATGACCTCAAAACGCTTACCTAGGTGCAGAAATGAAGCTTGACATAAGATGTAAAAAAACTTAAGACAGAACCTAGTATTTCCTTCTCCTTTTTTCAAAAAGTTTTCAAAGGAGTGGCTGGTGCATTAAATAGTTGGTGATCCACCGATAATTCCAAATGTCTTCGGCTGAAAAACAGTCTTTCCGAGAAATCGAATCGAGCAACTTGAATTGGTGACCAAAAGTTCAAAAAAAACTTAAAACCATATTTCTTGATGACTGATAGGACCTTCACAGCACTTTTGAAGCAAAAAGCAAAAAAGTCGTCAGCGGCAGGACTCGAACTAGCGACCTCTAGATTGGTAGGCCAAGTACTTGCCAACTATACCACGCCGCCGCTGGATCCTTCCCCGTGGGGAGGGGCTTTGAGGCGGGGCTGCCAAACATGACAAAACTTTAAATCGATTTTTAACAATGTTCCTGTGGCGCTCGGCAAAAATAAATATCGGGATCGTTATCAGCGTGAAAAACGCATCAGATAGGCTATATGGCTAATCGAGTTCAACTTCGAGCTGGGAGGTTTCGTAAGCCCGACCTACGCCTAAGTCTTAGCCGGAACTTCGTCTTTGACCTATGAAAATTGACGTACACTCTGATCCCATATGTTTTTATTGGCGGCACAGAAGAGGAGAGCGATTTGTTTGTAGAATCTGGTCAAAACTGGAATGTCGTAAGTAATCACCTAAAAATACAATCAATACCTTCCGTCTTCACCTCCAACCTCGAAAATGCCAAGATGGAGCTTGCCCACGCGCTGCTGAGGGCAACTCGATAGATAGAAGGTGCTGAAATCCCGAATGAAGAGAGAGAGAGAGAGAGAGAGAGAGAGAGAGAGAGAGAGAGAGAGAGCAGGAGAGATGCCAAACTAGTTCCTACCAATATTGGTCTCCTTCTCTTCCATATCTTTCGAGGATGAAGCTGTCGACTCGGATTCAGAAATGTTGTGGGCCACCCGATTTCTCGGGATCCCAAGAACAGTATCTAATCGCTTTGGCGGCTTTCTAGGGCCACGTTCTGATTGAACAGCTGCAATTCAGGGCCGTAGTACGACGATAAATACTTGAAACGTTACCCTCAGCATTCATATTCAAAAGTCGGCATTTAGCCAATCGACAAGCTGGGCACCAGTTCCGGCGGGTACGGTCGATTGCGCAATCGTTCAAGCCCGCTGGAATAGTAATTTAAATTCTATTCCTAAGCCTAGGCCTAGGCTTGAAGCGAAGCCGACGTCTAAGCCTAACCCTAAGCCGGCCTAAGCAGCTAATATCGAGTTCGATGAAAAAAACTTACTGATACATTTGTACTCCATCTTCTTGCGGACACTGAAAATGATGCAGCCATTAATGTTATAACTTTAAAAAGGAAGTGAATGTTGCGAAACATTTCATAGTCTTCAAAGTACAGTGTGGTTATCATAATGTACAAAAATATAGAAACTTACTAACATGCGAATTTCAAGAACAAATTTGGTTTCAAAGTGTTTGGTTGTTGGTCAAAGTTTGGTTTGGTTGTTGAGCTAGCTTACAGTACTACTGTAGAATCAAAGACTTACCTCCTCTTAAAGAAACACGAACACCCATCACACGTCCACAATCCATAGTGACGACCGTAAGATCGGTCTCCACAAATCTGACATAGAGCTTCGGTATTTGTCGAGCGAACTAGAAGGATAGCTGAAAGTTTTAAGAAAAGCCAAAAACGGACCCATGCCACCGTAGTCTCAAGAAGCACGCAGTACGGGGGTCAGGGAATGACGACTTGTAAGGGAATGCCGGCGAGACTCGGGCGATATTCCAGCATGGTACCCAATTATCCGGGTGTACATGGCGCGCGCCTTCTGATTCGGTGATTGTAACCCGAGAGTTGCTACCTGGCAGTCGGCTACCCGCGCGTAACGCCGCTTCATTTGGTATTCTGATCAAACCTTGGGGTCAGACTTGGGGTTGTGGATTCGGAAACGACTCGGAAACTTGGGAAGAATGGATACGAGATTTTAGGGGGATTGATAAACTTAGGGACCTGAGCTGACTACGACATGGAGAGCAGACTTCGAAGGCTTTTTTCGGAGGAGCTTTCCTCAGAGTGAGTTATACTATGGCTCTAGGAATCCGCGTACAAAACTAGGTCGAAACAAAGTTCAAAACAATTTTTTACCTGAGCGAGAGGGCAGAGAAAAAGTGAAAAGTGAAAGTGATGTTGCCAGTTCATGATTGCTCCTGACTGCATCGTCGAGACTTCGGAGACTTCGAGACTTTATAATTTCATCCTCCAAAATTCCCTTTTTTCTTTGAAACTTTAGTAACTCATGTTTCCTCCTGCATTCTTTACCTGGTAGAGTAATTATCAACTTGAAATCGCACCTGACACGTTTCTATTCCTTCAAAGTCGGGTTCCGCCGCCCGCTAGCCTCGTTCATGGGTCAGTGTTCTACTTTTACTGGCCCAATTCCGGCTGCCAATCGCTGCCAATCAACTTGTTTCTCACCCCAAGCGAGTAACCGCTGATGCCCACCCCCAACCAAAGCTTTCTGTATCTCTCTCTCCTCATTCTCTCTTTTCTCTCTTTCTCTCTCGCTCTCTCTTGCTCTCTCTCGCTCTCTCTCACTCGCCTCCCAGCTTTTGTCCCCATCAATTTAAAGGGCCAGAGTCCCCCTCGCCCTCACATACGCACACACCTCCTCGAAATAAAAGTGGGCGGGGCTGAAAGTGCCCCCAGGGTGGGCGAGGGAGTGGAGGACGATCAAAAATTCGATCAAAAAAGAAACACAAGGTGGCTCTTCTCTGCCCCAAGACCCGGGAGGACCGGGCTAGCTATCGCAACAACAGGCTTACACTCCAGCTCGATTTTTAGGACCAGCTTGCTGATTTTGTTTCATTAAAACGCACGTCAGAGCTTGAGAATCATCCTTCCAGTGCCAAATTAAGTCTGTGTATATCTTTTTCGCCTGGTGTCTAGGCGTAATTTTAGTAGACGGGGTCTATGCCTAAAATGGCGCTTTCATAGTCTGATACCTCACTCACGCTTCCGCTAATGACATGACTTCTTCGCTCCTAACGATACCTTCGCTATGGCGGGTTTTTGATTTTCGGCTTACTGTAGCGCCATCTCTTAAGTCACGGTCAATGTGCCGGCACCAACCTAGCAACTATTCTGAACCGCCTGCAGTGTGAATTGTACAATTTTGTAATTTCGTCGGTTTCAGGGGCACTCTTTATGGCTAAATCATTAACGTGAGACCACATACTGATCGATCTTGACACCGATTTCCGATTTTTAATTAGTTCTCGAACTCGAACTCCGATTTTTCACGTTGCCTATCTGAATGCCGATGTTCATCAGAAAAACGGGTCCCTCATTGGGTAATTCCTCGCATTGCACTACCCCACCACCAACATTAATGGAGCAGCGTAGCAAGGTGTCAGCACCCAGCGTAGGGTCTAGCCTTACATTCCCGGTATCTATAAATGCCCATCTGTGGTGTTTTAAGAATATTTTACCGATTAGGTAAGATTAGCGTGAATTCGATGGAATTTCAACCTCCAATCATTTTCCCGCCACCCAGACGATCGAAAACCTCCCACCCTCAGAGTACCCGATCACGTTTTACACTACGCGCGTCACCCGGGTGGGGGGAATGGCCCACGGGGTATGCAGATATCCGAGTCGCCGGGTGGGTAGTTGGCCCCAATATCGACATGATGGTAACGAAAACATTTGGCTCGAGTTTCCGGCGGATCCAAGGCGTTCTTTTACCCGACTTTCAACGCTCTTTTCGCTAATTTTTTTTTGCTATTCCTATTTACAATTCTGTTTTCTTGCCTTAGTTTTTTCTTTAGATTTTCCACTATGTCTTCAACTTCGTTTTCTTTTTTCCTCAAATTTTTGTAGAAACGTGGAATTTTATAAAATTTGGAAATACGTGTTCTCTAATTTCCTATTATCATTGAACAAGCTTTTTTTATCGGAAAAACTTTCTTTTCGCTATTGATTTTATGGGTGTTTACTTCGACCCTCGACGTCTTTCAGGTAGTTTGTCCTCCTCCAACGATGGATTTCGAACCAGAGACCCGGTATGGCGGCGCCCAGGGCGAGGAGGAGTCCGTAAGTTTTAAAGATAAAAAAATTCTGGATCATCTACTTACTGAAAATGTCTATTTATCAATACATGCCAATTTTCAGGAGGCCCAGCGCAAGGCCCAGGAGCGCGAGCAGAAGAAGGCCGAGGTGCGCAAGCGGCTCGAGGAGTCCGGCAAGGCTGGCAAGAAGAAGAAGCAGGGTTTCTTGACGCCGGAAAGGAAGAAGAAGCTCAGGGTATGGAGAGAGAGAGAGAGGGAGAGAGAAAGAGAGAGAGAGAGAGATCCCAACCTCAACCATTTTTTTTAGAAATTGCTCATGACCAAGGCGGCCGAGGACCTCAAGCAGCAGCAGTTGAAGAAGGAGCAGGAGCGACAAAAGGTAGGAAAAACAATTTTGGGATTTAAAGGAATGGCGAGAAGTGTTTCAGCAATTTTGGTTATGAACAAATTTATTTTTGGATTTCAGTTCCTCGCCGAACGCACGGTCTCCCTCCCCAACATCGACGGCACCGACGATCACGGTATCTTTTCAAGCTTTCACTTTAAAAATCAAATTTTGGGTTAAAGAAGATTTTTTAATAATTATTATCTAAGCTTGTATCGTGATTTTTCAGCCACGCTCGAGAAGTACTACAACGAGCTGTTCTCCCGGTTGACCAAGCTGGAAGAGGAGAAGTACGACATCCTTCAGGTATGTTGAACTTGGAATCTTCTCTCTGTCTCTCTGTCTCTATCTTTCTCCTTATCTCTATCGCTCTCTCGCTCGTCCTCCAAGCCTCTCAAACACTCAGGTTTCTAGCATTCTTTTTCGCTCGCTATCTCGCCACAAACGAAAACCTTAGGGCTGTCATACAAAGAAAATTCAAACATTTTGCATGATTCATAGAGATCCTGAATTTCCAACTACTGTGGTTAATTTTGATATTTTCTGACGATTTTTGGGGTTAGCTGCTTAAAATAGAGAACTTTTTCCTCTCCCTGCCATTTTTATCCAGCTGACCCAAAACCAGTTCCCCGGTAGTCAGCTGTCAATCTTGGCAGCCACCCACCCAATCACCTGGACCCAAAACAAAAAGTTTTCTGCGGGTAACTTGGGCTGGCAGCTGAGAGTTGTGGGCTCCATTTTGTTACGGAAAACTTATTATACTTGCTCGACGTCTTAGAAGATCAAAATTAGCATCAAACTCGACATTTGTAGATTGTCCAATCCGCCGAGGCCGAGATCAACGAGCTGACGATCAACGTCAACGATCTCCGAGGCAAATTGTGAGTATTCCAAGGCCATTAACTTCGATACCTTATGTTTCATACGTACTCTAGATGTCGACTATTAAAAGTACCGAAGTAGCCTTTAGATACCTTTGACGCGTATTATCATTTTTCAAGTCAAGCTCACCTTGTGTAGATTATGTTACTTGTTATAAGTAGACCTTTAAAAAGCCTTAATATTATTGTCTGCTTTTTCCAGCGTCAAGCCCACACTGAAGAAGGTGTCGAAGTACGACAACCGCTTCAAGAAGCTTGCTGAGATCAAGAAGACCGAGGGACAGGTAAGTGGGTAGCGTGAACTTTTGATTTCCGCTTTCAGGCTGACTTCCGCAAGGAGCTAAAGACGGTCAAGAAGGAGAACGTCTTCACGCAGTTGGCCAACAAGGTGCGATTTTGTTTCTTGTTTTTCTGTTTCGAGCACCTTTTCAAGGATTTGGATAGTTTTTTGAAAAAAAATTTAGCAGTGGCTTCGTGGAGATGTGGACGTTACTTACCTTAAAGATTTGTTTTCAGAAGAAGGCCGACCAGAAGCCCGACTGGAAGGCCCAGAAGGCCGCCAAGAAGGCCGCCGACGAGAAGAAGGAGGAGCAGCCCAAGGAGGAAGAGGTGCCCGCTGAGGAGCCCGCTGCCGAGGAGCCAGGTGAGTCAGAGCTAAAGCCTAACAAGCCTAAGCCTAAGCCGAGATTTAAGTTTAATCTAGACCTGAGCTTAAGAATTCTTTTGATCAGTTTTAACTTTCTTTTTTCAGAAGAAGAAGAGGAGGAGGAGGACGAGGAGGAAGAGGAAGAGTAAACCTCCACCAAATCACCACATCAAACTCACAACCATGCATTTCCCGTGCCCTCACTTTTCTAGTCCTTTTTCTGTACATGCGTCCAAAACCGCGGTTCCTTCATCGTCAACGGCTTCTGCTTTCATGTTTGGTCCAGATAAATGTTTGGTGCGTATGGTTTTCAGGGGCGCATCCGGATCCAGGTACAATTTTACGCTTTAAGGCACGGTTTAAGGGTGGTTGGAAGGCGAAAACAGGAAAAGCCTGGGCCATTAATGCTGTCATAGATTATTATGACGGTTCGTGCGTCATTTTTGTGGAACTTTTCGAGTTTCCCACTTTTTCCTAGTGTTCTGACCTCTGTGATTCTTTTAAAGGAAGAACTGAAAGTTATCTATGGATTGACGGCTACTTCGGTAATGATTAATGAGCTGACGTCATCCGCTGAATTACTTTAGAACTTTTTTTGTAAGGACGTTTTCCATTCCGATTCCTTTTATGACTGTTTCAAATTAGATCCACTTGAAAAATCACATTTTTGTTTGCATTCAAAAGCAACTTTGGAGCTGCTAATCCAATGCGCGTTAATGATACCTGTAAAAACAGACCATCCGTAGCAATTTCCCGGCCTTGCAAGTACCTTTAAAATGACCAAAAAGCGGGTTCCGTAGCATCTATTTTCCCATAGCTCTTTTTTGATTTTTTTCAGGTGTCCATTTTGGCGGATTTTCTCGACGACTCTTTTCTTTTGTCCTAATTTTTATCTTTTTCCCAAAACTTTGGAGGAGGCAACCAACGAGCCATGCTAATAGGAAATTTTTTTTGGTAATGAAAACTTGAATTAGGGCTGAAAGTTCAGAATTTTTTATTTTTCTCTTTAATCTTTAGCTATTTTAGTCTTATTCTCCATTTTCCAGACCTTGTTTGTTTCCTGATTTTCTCCTTTTCTTGAGACTTTGGAGACAGCCTGACCAGAAACGACATTTGGCAGGGGTGTGTCTATGCGGGGGCTGTCGCCTGGGTGTGTGTCCCCCTCCAGGGCATTACAACAAAACCCACCCCCCTCCCCGGCTCGTCCTCTCGAGTCTCAGCTTCTCCACCTCCACCTCCTCTACATCCCAGCCAGGGCCACTAAATGGCCAATATCGATCAGCCGGGGATCAGGCTCGGCTCTCCTCGGCCCGAGGACGCAACAGCTGAAATCCCGAGAAAATAAAATGTGGGCATTAAAAAGTGGGGCCTACGCCTGGGGGTTTTGAGGAACGGTGGGCTATAAATTGCGTTTTTATTTTTTTGAAACCAGATGCATTGATTCTCCGGTCTTTTAGTAGCTCGTCAACATTCAAAACGGCTGAAGTAACGAAGCTTAAGAAATGACTAAAATCAGAGTATTTTTGAGTGTAAAGCGGAGTGACACGGACTAAAGACTACAAAAAGGCCTCTAAAAATCGAAAAATTATAAGATAAGATAAAATAAAAAGAAGGATCAGTGTACAAGGAGCTGCGTCTATGCATTAATGACCTGATGAGCTACCGCACGGACGCCGGGACCACTGAAAACCCCGAAATACCTGCCGAAAATTGATAATACCATTCTCCAAGAGAGAAAAATTTTTACGCTAAAAACAAAGGTTCAATACTGTCATACAATACGCATTAACGATAGAATGCGTCAAGGGCGTCCTCCCTCGGATTCGTGTGGTGGAGAAAATCGCGGTTTTATCGGCTTAAGCCGGTTTTTACCCTCCAGAAGTTTCTTCGGGGCCTTGCCGAGGGTATGAGCATCTGCAAACTAACTTCACGTTGCCTTTAAAAAACCTCAATTACACCTATTCCCCTTTTCTGAAAGCGTGCGAACTCCTTCGCCTTCTCTGCCACACGAACATCTGGGCGGCTAGTCATAATGGACAGCCCATAAATCGTGTTTATGGGAAAACAAAGTCACCTCACGAGGGTTGGAAATTATTTGGCAGAGCTGTCGGCGAACGGCTATAGAATTTGTTTTTTAATGCATATTTTAATTTTTTTACGGTGGTTTGTCTATTTTTTTTGAAGCAAAAAAAAAGAAAGAATGGGGGTTTTTTAGGGGGGAGGTTTTTAATTTTAAATGCGTTATGGATCTCTATCAAGGTGTCTTTCTACTTTTTCTGGCAGTTTAACTTCCTAATCCCTTCAAAGTAACGAGTAATCACCTGCCACCTATCCCTCCGGCTGTCATGTTTTTCCACGCCAACCATCAGTCGGTGAAGTGACAGGGTTAGCGAGTGAGAGAGATTTATAGAGAAAGAGAGAGAGATTTTGGGGGGTCTAGGATACAGAACCTTGAAAGTTGACATCCGATACCGTGAAGGGAGGGGGCCCGCCGGCGGCCAAGGAGGCCCAACTGTGCGCATTCTCTCGAGCTCCACATAGCATAACAGGCACTTTTCGTTGTTTTTGACGGATTTTTAAGCTTTTAAGCTTTCCGGCTTTTGAATACCATTCTGCCACCACCATCTTAAATGGCTTTATCCAGTAGCCATCTGCCCATTTTCTTGATTTCAGAGGGGCATAGAACTCGAGCACAAGCGACCTTGACCCCACTCCTGATTTTCCAAACCTCGGTATCTAAACTTTATCAAAACCTCAGCTAAGAAAGATCAAAACAACGCAAGAAAATATTTAAATCACTAGCCGAGCCTCTGCGACATTTTTATGTTGATTGATTTTCTATAGTCTTAGGCCTTATCTATAGCAAAACCTGTAAAGATCCAGGCGCTTTTGGATGTCCCTTTGGTTTTTATGGCTTTTGTCACCTCTACAAAGAATACTTTCAAATGGCGGAACTGTTAGGTCGCGTGGGTCGAAATACCGAGATCCAGCGACCTAACTTATCTGGCCCTCTATGACCATCGCGCTGCTGTGCGGGGTTAGTGTTAAAATCAGCACACTTTGATGCTCCTAGCCTTTGTGATCCTCAACTGCTTCGGGTTTTACTTTCCGTTTGGTATAGTTCGCTCGAGTGTTGTGACGGCTTCACCTGTGTGTTCAACTTTTCATTTTTCAGGATGGAATTCGAGGGCGCGCCCCGCTACGGCGGGCCCCAGGCCGATGAGGCTGACGACGTGAGTATCAAGATTCGAAAAATAATCGGACATTCAGAAAGCCGCCAAGCGCGAGGAGCTCGAGCGTAAGAAGGCCGAGGTCCGAAAGCGGCTCGAGGAGTCCGGCAAGGCCGGCAAGAAGCAGAAGAAGGGTTTCTTGACGCCGGAAAGGAAGAAGAAGCTTAGGGTGAGGGAAATGATAAAAAGAAGGATAAATCATTTTTAGAAACTGCTCATGATGAAGGCGGCAGAGGATTTGAAGCAGCAGCAGTTGATGAAGGAGCAGGAGCGACAAAAGGTGAGAGAGTAAGACGGAGAGACCAAGAGAGAGAGGGAGCCATAGAGAGAGAGAGAGGGAGTGAGAGATAGCGGGAGAAAAAGAGAGAACACTTTTATTCTTTCAGGCCCTTGCTTCTCGTATTGTCGCCCTCCCAGACTTGGATAGCATCAACGATTCTGGTGAATTTTTATATATCTTTCATTAACCCTTTTTTAAACTGTTCGGACTCTTTTTAAGCAAGATATTATCAAAACCCATTTTTCCTGCTGTCATCTCTTGAAATCCACCCCGCTTTAGGCCAGCTCGAAAAGATCTACAACGACCTGTTCGAGCGGCTAAAAACGCTGGAGGAGGGCAAATATGAGATTAACCAGGTTTGTAATAAGTGTTCCTACACAGTAATCCGATTTTTTTAGTCCGTCAAGTGCAAAGATGCGGAAATCAACGAGCTGACTATTGCCGTTAACGATCTACGCGGTAAATTGTGAGTTTTTTGAGATTAAGCGCTTCTCTCTGTATCTCTCTCGCTCTCTCTCCATCTCTGGTTTTTCAGCGTTAAACCCATGCTCAAGAAGGTGTCCAAGTACGACAACAAGTTCAAGTCGAGCGGAAAGGGCGAAGCTGCTCCTGGCGGCAAGGTTCGAAAAAATTTTCAATTTTGGAGACTTTGAAAGATTCCTATAGCGATCACGCTTAAACGTAGAATTAACAAAAATATCATTAATATTTTATCAGGGGCGAGTGATAAAACCGATCGCTTTAGGCCGATTTCCGCGCCAACCTCAAGGTGGTCAAGAAGGAGACGGATTTGGACGAACTCGTGAAGGTTAGTTTAGCTTCGTTCGAAGCCCTTGCTAGAGCTTGACTGACCTAAATCATTACATTTTTTCAGAAGAAGGAGAAGGCCGGTTTCTTGAAGGATCAGCCCGCGCAGGAGGACAAGCCGAAGCCGGCACCCAAGAAGGAGGAGGTCAGTACGATCGAGACCGATTCGTAAACCTAATTCTAGGTCTAAGCCTGAGCCTAAGACTAACCTAAGCCTAAGTGGATCTAACAAGCTCCTTCTAGGTCGTTGAGGAAGCCCCAGCCGAGGAACCCCCAGCGGAGGAAGAGCCCCCAGCTGAGGCCGAGGAGCCCGAGGAGGAGGATGGCGAGGAGGAGGGTCAGTCTTTCCTTACCTAACTGCAAATTATGATTTAGGTGACGAGGAGGAGGAGGAGTAAAAATCCCGCCGTTCATCTAATCTTCATTCTTCTTCATCCTTCTTCATCTCGACCTTCATATTGGATATCCGCCGAGAGCTTCACTATGCCTGTCTGTGAGCTTCTCAACTTTGAATTTCCAAATCCTTCTGTGTAGCTTGTAACAGTGTTCATTTCACCTGCTGCCGCCTTCGAAATGTGTCTCATTCTGGCTTGGAAATAAACGGATTTGTGTAGTTATGGTGTTTCAGGATCTTTATTTTAGCATTTGGAAATGGTTGCGTAATTTCACGTAAACAGGGGCATTTCAAAGTGGATCAGAAGTAGCTTCATTAACACCGTCTTTTTGGAGCGTGAGTTTTGCTTTTTCGATCCTTGGATCGAAAGCTTTTGAATTGATGGAGGTACAGGGATCGTTGAACTAGTCGATCGGTAGTATTTTTGGAAGCTTT